GGGTATCTTCTCCGCTGCGGCCTTGGCAGCCAAGGCCTCCCTGCCAAACAAAACCACACATGCACAGTTAGTTTTTCATAAACAAACAGATTTGCCGTTTACACATGGCGTTAAAACACAAACGCACCTGTGAGCGATGCAGTGAAACGAGACCAGGTTGGGGATGAGCAGTCGCAGACGAGCAACCACACCGTTTTGACTCCCCACCATCACAGAGGCGCCATCCGTGCTCACTCCCGAGATACGCCGGAGGTCAACGCCGACTGCGCTGAGGTGGGAAAGCAACAAACTGCACAAAGATGCAGCGTCAGCCCTATCAACCGTTAAATGCGCGACGAACTCAGTGACAACTCGGCCTTCGCGGAGAAACGTGGCAAACACAATCATGTGCTTGCCGCGCCGACGGTCGGTGCTCTCATCGAGCGTTATCCCGATGAAAGGGCTCGAGAGGAGGTGCTCCAGTTGCGTTGTCTGAAGCCATGCCGCAATGGCTTGAGTGAGCTCTCCAAAGCCGTACCTACAGAAGGAAGACAAGGTCGTTAGTGACGGTCAGCAAGGATACAACGTTGTACACACGGGACACACATAAGAATTTACGTACGTGTTATAGTATGTGCCGTATCCCTGCTCGGGAAACCCGGGCACTTTCTTCTTCGCCAGGTAGCGCATGAGCCGGATCCACGAGTCCATGGGCTCGTTGCACTTCCCCATGAAGTACAGCGAGTCGACGAGCGACGACACCTGCAGCAGCTCCATGTCTTGCGCTTTCGGGTGCATGTCGATGCGCTGCTGCCGCCCGTACTTCTGCAGCAAGTCCTCCTGGCGCTGCAGAGCAAATCGGTGCTTCACCGTCCCTTCGTGCTTCTTGAAGGACTGTGTCTGCACGTCTGTAGCTCCCTCGGTACGCCGCCCACACTTGCCATTCAATCCCGCAAACTCCAGGCAAATACTGCACTTGAAAGAAGGGGCACCAGAAGAGGTCTTAGTTAGAACAAGCCAACTGTAATCGGTGGACCACTTCGATTTGAATCTCTCATGCGCTACCTCGTATTTCAACTCAGGATTATCGGATTTGGGCTTTGAGCTGTCCTGCGTGGGCCTCGGGCTGTTCTGCGTGGGCATGGAGCTGTCCTGCATGGGAGAATCGTCGCTCGCAGGAGTCACAACGGTCGATGGAGGAGGCGGAGTGGCCCAACCAAGGGTGGACTGCCGGTACCGCAGCTTCGACGGTGGCGCGGGACGAGAAGGTGCACCAACAGACGCCTCATGGGGCACCGCCTGTTGCGCAGCGGTCGCTGGTTCAGTGACGGCCTCGTGCAGAGGTGTGGTGTCTCTGGGAATAGGTGGGCGGCTCGAGCTAGGTTGCGACGGTGGCGTTGGAGGTGGATTGTGCTTCGGTAGGACAGACCTAAGAAAATCTAGACCGGTGAGAGGGTCGGATACTGGGCCGGATACTGGGCGACCGACTGCATCATCCTCGTCGTCGGGCCCATCCGCGACAGCCTCTGTAGCTGCCATTGAGCCTGCCGAGCAGAGGTGTAGCGAGCTAGGAGGTGGGAGCCTGAAACAAGGGCTCCTACACTAGTTTGAGTCCAGGCAAATGGAGCGGGCCATGAGAGAGACTGCAAGAACGGTGACCAAGAAGAAGATGAGAAACCCTCGTGTAATAGGACCTCCCATCTCCCAGAAGGTCATTGCATGCACTGCACCTGGGCGTGAATCCTTGGAAGGTGGGGTGATTGGGGTTGATGGATGGAGTCACGTGAGAGAAGCAGCGCGGTGCGAGCCCTGCGTTGGCAACTGGGAAGGTGGGGTGGGGTGGATGGACGTGGTGACGTGAGAGTGGCAGCGCGCTGCGAGCTATGCGCTGGCAACATTGAAGGCGGGGTGTGGTGGATGGTCGTGGTGTACAGCGAAGGTGCAGTGCGTGGCGAGCTATGTGTTGGCAAGGAATCTTGCCAACACTGCCTGCGGCGCAGCCGCGATTGGTCAGAATTGGGTGGGATTACAGCAACGCTGTACCAACGCAACTGTGCGTTGTCGCGCTGGCGAAATCGTGGGTTCCCGCCCGTGATTGACGGGGTTACTGCTCCACGCCGCCAGGCTGGACCCTGCCCCTGTATTATCGGATTCAGAATGCACCCCCGATACAAGTCTGAGGCACAGCCTACACTACTAAAAATAGTCTGAAATTACAGACAAGTATGTTAAAAAAACTCTGAAACATCAGACAGGGCCCCAAAAAAAAATCTTAGAGTGCAGACTAGGTACCAAAAAAAAGTCTGAACGGACTCTGATTCAGACTCTAAAGTCTGATATCTAGGGCCCTGGTGGCATGTACGATGATCTAAAAATTATAGTGTGTGCAACTATAATATAAATTCATCAGGGTAACTGGTACACAATGCCACAGGGTTGGATTTAAAAAAACAAGAAAAACACTGATGGATCAGGGTTTGAAGAAGGTGTCACACTGATAATCAGGTTTTTGAACAGGTGCAACACTGATCACAAGGGTTGCTCAAAACCAAAAATTAGCCCTGGTCCTAACCCTCAAGGGTTGTACTCAGTACAGTGTACCCCACTACAGCCTAGACAACACCGGTACAACATATTTTGACAACACTTCCGCCAGCTGTAGGCGGGACTGAGAGTTGAGTTTATTCAGCTTTAAACTGGAGCCATGCAATGCAAGGCTATGAATAAGCAGCCTGAACATCAGCATGATGAATGTACAATATTGAGAGCATGTTTCCCTAGTGTCACATTTCCATATTATCATCACCTACGTCTTCTAGCTGGAAGCAGGTGCCTGCTGCACCTGTTGCTTGCGATGACTGGTCATACTGCGACGGTGGTGGTAACCCGTTTCTTGTCTCATGAAACATGCCATGCGGTTGACTGAAGCTGGAAAACGACGAGCACGATTCACCTTCTCCGAGGCCCCCCCACGCCCGCGCTGCTCCCCAAATTCCCGTTCCGCCCGTTTCCCCAGACGAAGACTCACAAGAGCCCGCTGCCCCACATTCCGCGCGCTGTTGCGGATGAGAGGCCATACCATCCATAACGCACGCTGACGCGCATCCGGCTGCTGCGGACGGACCCGCGGTCGCCGTATATGACCGTTCCGATTGGGACGCTTGCCAGCCATTCGAGTCGCTTGCGCCACTGCTACAGCCGCTGCCGGTCCAACTTCCGCACACGCCCTCGGGCGCGTTTCTTGCCGCATTGTCCGCCGCGTCCAGCGCCGGATGCTGCGGCGGCGCCGACGCGATCTGCATGTTCCAGGCGCCCCACCGGATGTGCGGAACGCGCAGCCACGGGCTCGACCAGGACAAACGCGGGACGGTCACAGTCAGCGACCCCACCGTGTGCGCCGCCGTCGCGCGCTCCGGGCTCGCGTCAAACGGTAACTTAAACCGGCACCCGAACTTCCACGGGTTAGATATCGACGAATGAATGCTGCTACTGCTGCAGCTGTTGCAGAAAGAGCCTGTGCCTGGCGGTGCTGGGAGCAACGAGCGCTCGCAATGACGCGAGCAAAAAATGGTCAGAAGCGCACCATCACGGCACAAATCAGGATCGCCGTCTACGTCAGCGGAAGAAATTCCCCGCATTCCGCAGGCTCCCCCACCGCCGTTCCGACCCGCAAGCCGATCAGAACCGGCTCCCTGATTTGCGCAACCATTTGAGCAAGGCGAGCCCGACCGTCCAGGTTCATTTGACTCGACGCGTTCGACGACCACCTCCACCTCCTCCTGGCGCAACCCGTCCCTTTGGACTTCAAACGAGTACGTTTCGCCTGTCTCCGATATAAGCCACGTGGGCTTCCGTACGTCACCCTGGTACTCCTTTATGATCTCGAACTCGATAGTGGTGAATGAGGGAGCGAACTCTCCGCTGTGCCGAAATGGCTTTCCTCGACATGAGCTTGCGTCGTACGGTTGCGGCGCTGTAGGTCTGAAGATTCCCCGTGACCTACGGGAGGCCATAGCAGCTACGCGATGCCTGAGAAAACGGCGGCTAAACCACGAAAAATGCCTCTGCTTTCGAAAGGCGCGACGAGTAAGCTGACAGGAGGTGCTACGGCAAGATCAAACTAGGCGACGTGGCCTGTAGTCCTCAGCTAGAGAGCGTCTGCTGCAAAGTGGAAGTGGAGGGGAGGGCCAAGTCATCTCTATGGCAGGCAAACCCAACAATTTTCTTATTGCAGGGTAGTGTCTAGTTGGCAGACAAGGTAAAGTCGATAACGAAGAGTGATTTCTAGGGCCAGATTACCTGCTCGGTGATAGTACTGTACCGTAAGAGGTGAAGGTGAGCGTGAGAGAGCAGAGCACAGCGAAGGGGAGTGATGGGTGATCAGGGAAAGATTCATGACGGTGAAGAACAGGACCAGGAGGACGTTGGGGAAAGTCGAGTTGTACGTTCAAGCGCTGCTCTAGGCTCCAGCTCAGCTTCGCCACGGGGGCTTCGAGTTCCTTCGAAGTTATTTCATTGGTTGCGAAATTGGCGATATTTCTGCGATGCTCGTGTCGTGCTGGAACTTGGTTGCGGAAATTCGGTGAATGCCCACATTCGCCTGGTTGAGGCAAGTTGGTTGGTGATCAGCAGCACTCTTTGTGACTCGTGTCGCACATCACATCCCCGTCAAAACTCGACAAACTCGACTCGACCCTCAGAGTGCCATTGGAGGAGGCCCGTTCGTACTGGCGAAGTTTGTGCGTTTCCAGCCACTCAAATGAGCTTCTAGCAGCTTCCACTATCCATTGGGATCGAGGCATATGGCAAACTGACCCCACCTGATCATACCCGCCACAATCTCATCTTATACTCCGCTTAAACCGACCTTAAGTAACCAGTCGAAATCATCACATCCTACACTCCCTAACAGAAACGTTATCCTAAATTGTTCCAACAAAGATTGAACTGTTGGGGTTCTATTTTCTGGTGACACGTCACGGTCCATGACGTGGCAATGATAGACAGTTCCGTCTGACAACATGTCCCTCGCCTGTCGTCACATCACATCTCCCCGCCTTTCTCCCACTCCTCACTTGGGATTCTACCAATCTTACCCCATCACTTTCAAAACTCTTCCCATCCCTCACCACCGATTCGCCGCAAACATCTCTTCCCATTTTCCTCCCGACCAGTCCTCCCTCCTCACAACCCACACCATGCCTAACCCACCCCCCCCACCCCCCCTTCGCCCTCCCTCCCTCTTCTCCAGCCTCACCTTTCCGCCAACCTCGTGCACTCCTCTCACCCTGACTTGTTGAATTAGGGTTTTCGCATTGCCGGACATGGCGCTCGCTTGTCCTTCCTCCGTGTCCTTCAAGTCCTTCCAAGGGCTCAAGGCCAGTCCCTCTGTCTCTTCCCAAGCGCGCATTAGTCGCTCCAATGTAGCTTTTCCGAACGCCGCCTCCAAGCGGCTGGTCGCCGTCGCGGCCGTTGCAGAGGCACCAGCAGCTGCCGGCCCGGCAGTTCTGCCCGTCCTGACGATGGACGGCGCGAACTCGGGCAAGACGGCAGAGCTGAACCTGCGGACGGCACGGCCGGAGACGGCGAAAGCTGTCGTCCACCGCGCCGTTGTCACCTACATGCAGAACAAACGCGCGGGTACCGCGAGCACGAAGACCCGCGCGGAGGTGCGCGGAGGCGGGCGGAAGCCGATGAAGCAGAAGGGAACCGGCGGCGCTCGCCGGGGATCACAGCGGACGCCGCTGCGCCCCGGTGGTGGTGTGGTGTTCGGACCTAAACCCAAGGACTGGACTATTAAGATCAACAAGAAGGAGAAGCTGCTCGCCGTGGGGACCGCTCTGCAGAACGCGGCGACCTCGAATGGCGGCGCGAGCTTCATCGTGATCGAGGACGTGCACGACAAGGTCGCGGCGCCTAAGACTAAGGACTTCGTCGCGGCGCTCGCGCGGTGGGGCGTGGATTACAAGAAGGACCACGCGCTGCTGCTTACCGGCGAAGCTTCGGAGAACCTGCTGCTATCGACGCGGAACATTGAGAACCTGAAGGTGGTCACGACGAACGCGCTGAACATCTACGACGTGCTGCGCGCCGATAAGCTGCTGGTGACGGAGTCCGGGCTTGAGTACCTTAACCAACGGTTCGGCGATGACGTGCTGTTTGTAGACGGGGAGGAGGACGAGGAGGAGGGAGAGGAGGCGTCAGATGCTTAGATTCGTTGAGGGGATGTAGGGACGGATGCTTGGAATGGGGATAGCAGGGCTTGCAGGGTTCAGTTGGCTGGATAGTGAAGCAGAAAGGTGGAGATGGTCAGAGAAGGGGGGATGGGTTCGCGGGATGTTGTGGTGTAAGGCAGGCGAAGCAAGCACTGGCTGTGTGTTTGTGTTTATCTAGTCTACGGTAAGCTCTTGCTGGTGCTGCTGCTGCTTCTGCCGCTGCCACGTTCTACGTTGCTGCGTCTCCGCCTGTGTCTGTTAGCTTCCTGTGTACCAGCAATTTTACAGTACCATACCGAAATAACAACCCAATGTTATGCTCACATTTGTGTTTCTAGATATCTGCATTCTTTACCTGATACAATGTTACCTTTTTGTGCACCTTTTCCATAATCCCCCATTCCCCCTTTCCGCTTTCCCTCCCACTTCCTTGCCTCTTCGGTCATCCCACCACTTCGCCACTTCTAGTCACTTCTACCCGGCCCCCCCTCTCCCTCCACCCCTTCACCCCCGCCAGAAATTCTTAAAGCCTTGTCTTCGCTATCATTTCCTCTCTTCCCCCCCCCCCTTCCTCAGCCCTCCATCCTCTCTCCTCCCCCTCTTTTCACACACACAGTCGTCACTTTCTTTCTTCCCCCCCCCACCCTCCTTCACTCCTTCCTGACCTCACCTGCCTACCTTTCCCTTGAAGCCATCATCTCCTTCCCCCCCTATGTCTTTCTTGCCTTCTGGCAAGCTCCTCCCCCCCATGCCCACACTTCCCCTTTCCCCCCAATCCCCCTTTTCCTCCAAGCCCTCCTCTCCTTGCCTTGCATTCCCCCATTCCGCTCCCTTAACGGTACATACAAGCTCCCTCCTACATGCCAGTCTTGTAGATTTCGGCACACTTACACATACCCATACCTGAGTGCATTTAAATGGCAATAACAATATGGCAATGTGGTCAATGCTGGTATCAGTTATGATTGACAAAGTACACTGCTTTCTTTCCTGCTTACATCACCGAAACCCAACCTGCGGCGTGCGTCCATGTTTGGGTAAGGACCTTGGGACTGTCGACACTGCAGCTACTTCAAACGAAGCCAATCATCCCAAACCCGATATCGGACCATGCTGGCTGGCTGCGACCTTGCCCCTCAAACATTGATCTACGCCACACAGTCGCACCGCACTGCCGCGGCGCTTTTGTTGAGAACAGCGTTTCTCTCGCAATCGAACCGCACTCGCCATATGCATGATGCATGGGTTGCGGCGCCGTGACGACAAATGGGGTGCATCGCATCGCTCATGTGTACCGTTAACTGCGGCGACGGGGACAACCGTTGTGCGGGTGCGGATGCTGGGGCGACAGGCTCGATCATTAATTGTGGAGCTTCAAGTGTTAAATTAACTCATGGCTGTCACCGCTTCACAACACCATCCTTGTGCTCCCTACCGCTCTCCACCCCACGTCCATACCACGCCATGCTCACGTCGGCTCGCGTCGCAAATAGCCATGACGAGGATAAGCTTCGGATTTGCCAAATCCGCACACAGTGTGTTCTCCTCCCGCTGCGTGGGCTCTGTCGCAAGTCGAAGCATGACAGACGAGGAGCCGGTTTGGAAGCTCGAGTCTCAGCCATGAGGATCCGCATTGAGGTATCGTATCCACCCAGGCCGATGGGATGTGTGTTGGATGTACAATCTGCATTGAGTCAGTGTGTGCACCCAGGCACAGTGTGGTGAACGGCTACCTGAAGCATTAGGATCAGGAAAAGAACGCGAGCTCAGCAGGATCCACCATGGCTGCTCCGTCTACCAGCGCCACGGTGGCTCTTCGCAGCAAGGGCAACGCCTTCTACGCCAGTGCTTTCACCGACGGCATCGACCCGCTTCTGAGGCGCAGCCGCCTCAACATCGCTCTCTCCAAGTACCGTGAGGCGCTGCGCCGCCACGTGGCAGAATCTCAGCCGTCTGCAGATGAGCTATCCTCTTTGTGGAAGAACGTAGCTATGGTTTCATCCGCCCTGGCAGCTTGTCATGCAGATGCTTATAAGGCGTACAAGCCCCCTGTGATGGACGCTGCTTCATCGGAACGGGTCATGGTGAGAGCCATGCGCCGAGCCATAGAGGACAATGAGTGGGATTATAAGCAAATCGAGGAGCACTATAAGGAGGCCATAAAAGCATTCTGCCTGGCCCTTCTTTTCGGCAGTTGCGAGGCACGGAATACGAATACTGTCAACAATCGTTCCCCAAAAGCTGGTGCAGCCGCTGCTGCCAGCTACAGGGCAGCAAAGAGCGGCGCTGCGGGATCCTCAAGGGGCGGCGGCAGCCGTCCAGCCCGCAGCGCCCCAGCCAAACCGGAAGAGTGGCAGCAGAAGGTTCTGGGATCCTTCACCGACATGATTTTCCTGATCATGGCGTTCGCTCATGCTGCTAGCAGCAGCAGTGGCGGCGGTGGCAGCAGTGAGATGCAGCCATGGCGCCGAGATAGCAGCGTTCCTGGCCCCGCAGCATATGCAGCATCTGCAGCAGGTGCCGGTGTGCGGGATAATGGAGAGAGGTTGCTGTGGGTGCTGATGGGTGCGTTTGGTGAGATGCGCGCACGGGACAGCTGGAAGGAGCACCTTGGGGATAAGGACCCCAACTCAGGTCGGTTGTTTGGTTCCTGTTGAGTTCTCCCCATGGTGATTCTTTGTTTTGTTCTTGAGTGACCTGCTCAGCGTCTTTCATCTTGAATGTTTCAACTTGGAGGAACTCTTACACTTCTGGTTTCTTCGTGCGCATGCACTGTCTGTCTACTCTCATAGACTCTTACCAGCAGTGCTGAGACAAGGGGTTTGAGAGTTCTCACAAGTTGGAAAGCTGTTGCTGTCTATGCCTCCCCATCCCTGCACCGCCAGTTAATTGGACAGCAACCTCCACACGCCACGTGGAGGCCTTTGCAGCCTTCCACGTGGCATTCTCTCAGTTCCTCCTGGACAAGGGCCAATCGCTGCTCACCATCAACCTCGCCCGCTGCTCGCACTCCCCCTCGCCAACCTCTGCGGAGGGGATAAGGGCTGGGGTCAATGGTATCACTCTGGGAATAGGGAGGAAGGGGCCGGCACGGCTTGTGGTGCAGAGGGAGAGCGCGCGGTGCTTTGCAGAGTGTGAGCGGCCGCTGCGCCTGCTGGACGATGCTCTCATGACGCTTGAGAGAAATGTGGCGGGTGAGTGGAGGTGGCTGTGAATATTCGGTGAAGATTCAATGTAGGTTCAGTGAATGTTCAGTGAAGGCGCAGCAGCTTTATTGGATCTGCGACTCATGGCTCTTTGCCATTGCTTGTCAGCTTCGAGGTTCGACATCCATGCCCTCTCCGCTGCTGCTTGCTCGTCTGTGCAGGCAGGTCGTGTGGTAACCAGTCAGTAACACAAGCTACTCTCACGGCCCTGCGCATTCAAGCTACGGACCTGCAGACCACCCGCTTTACCGGCAGCTGTTTGTGTGAGTCGGTCGAAACTCTAGTCCGTGCGATGGCCCTCTGTGCACGAGCAGCAACAGCAACATCAGCAGCAGCAGCGGGAGGGAGGAGCGCAAATGGCGGTGGTTTGGACAGCAGAGCTGCTGCTGACGTGGCGCTGCTGTGGGCGGCAGTGGATGGATTCAAGGAGGCGGTGGTGCTGACGAGGGAGCGCCACGTGGACATGGAAGCGTATGCGCTGAGCTGGCTGGGGCATGTGTATGACGTGGCACTGCAGGTGAGAATTCTGACACAGTTGGGTGGCTGCATATGGGATTTCAGACCATGCGCACTTTTGACATATGTGGTTGGCCAGAATAGAGTTGCCCTGAAAAAAGTTTGTTACCTATCTTACTAATGCAGCTGGGCAACTTGTGCACTGGGTAACCAGTGCATTTGGGGAACCAGTATGGGGGCAACTAGTACAGGTGTGTAACTACAGTGGCGCCCCCCTGGTTCTCCCTTCAACTGCGTGCCATGTACTGGTGGCAAGCCTATGTCTCTCACATGCCCCTCCGCCCTCCCACACCTCCCTCCCTCATCCACAGCTCGTGCTCTCGGCATTGCAATCCCACCGCACCCTCGCTCTCTCCCCCTGGTATTCCGCCTCCGTACGAGCAATCGACCGCCACCAGGCCAAGGTGCGGCGGCAGGAGGAGCAGCGGCGCGAGCAGGAGCGCGGACCTCTGCTGGCAAAGCTGAAACTGGAGCTTGAAACTCTCTCAAAGATGAGTGAGAGCGGGTGGAAGCAGCTTCTGACTCATGTGTACAGCAAGTATCCGCCCAAGAATGGGAATGGGAATTACAAGTGTCCATCGTTGAATGTGGATGATGCTAAGGTGTCACTGCGGACCGCCATTCTGCATTACCATCCGGATAAGAACGGCGAGCATGGCGACAGGTGGAAGATTCTGTGCGAGGAAGTCACCAAATGTCTCAACTCCAAGTATGCTGTCTTCACCTGTGCATGATGGACAGTTGCCATGGCCAAAAGACTTGGAAGGTACACATGATGAGCACATGATGATAGAAAGACTGAAGGTACTTTCCTGCCTCCTTGGATGTGTGCACTTTTCCCAGATGTGAAATTTGTGTAGATACCAGTAGGCAACCATTACATGTGCATTCAGTGGCTCACAGATCAACAGACGAATCTGGAAGTGGGGAAGCAACTTGGGCCAATCAAGCCATGTTGATCTAGATAGAGTCTAGTCTAGGCTCAAGCTTGCTGCCATCCATTCTGCTCAAGTCGAGGTGAAGGAGCCATCGTTTGTGCTCAAATCAAGGTGCAGGACTTAGTCAGAGGAGAGCACGTTGAGGTACTGCTCCCACCCGTCGGTCTCCAGCTGCCCTGCCTTCTCCAACACCATGCCCTCTAGGTCCTTCTGGTATGCCACCATGCTGTGGAAAAGGGAGGAGGGAGGAGTGGAGGGGAGTGGAGGGGAGTGGAGAGAAGTGAAAAGAAGTGTAAGGGAAGTAGGGTTGAAGGAAAGTAAGAGATGGTGAGCACAAAGGGGTTCTTCCTGCCTTCTCCGGTACCATGCCCTCTATGTCCTTCTGGTGTGCCACCATGCTGCGAGCAAGGGAGGAGGGAGGATAAGTAGGGAGGAGTGGAGACGAGTGGAAGGGAAATGGAGGTTAGGAGTGGAAGGGAAATGGAGGTTACGAGTGGAAGGGAAATGGAGGTTACGAGTGGAAGGGAAATGGAGGTTACGAGTGGAAGGGAAATGGAGGTTACGAGTGGAAGGGAAATGGAGGTTACGAGTGGAAGGGAAATGGAGGTTACGAGTGGAAGGGAAATGGAGGTTACGAGTGGAAGGGAAATGGAGGTTACGAGTGGAAGGGAAATGGAGGTTACGAGTGGAAGGGAAATGGAGGTTACGAGTGGAAGGGAAATGGAGGTTACGAGTGGAAGGGAAATGGAGGTTACGAGTGGAAGGGAAATGGAGGTTACGAGTGGAAGGGAAATGGAGGTTACGAGTGGAAGGGAAATGGAGGTTACGAGTGGAAGGGAAATGGAGGTTACGAGTGGAAGGGAAATGGAGGTTACGAGTGGAAGGGAAATGGAGGTTACGAGTGGAAGGGAAATGGAGGTTACGAGTGGAAGGGAAATGGAGGTTACGAGTGGAAGGGAAATGGAGGTTACGAGTGGAAGGGAAATGGAGGTTACGAGTGGAAGGGAAATGGAGGTTACGAGTGGAAGGGAAATGGAGGTTACGAGTGGAAGGGAAATGGAGGTTACGAGTGGAAGGGAAATGGAGGTTACGAGTGGAAGGGAAATGGAGGTTACGAGTGGAAGGGAAATGGAGGTTACGAGTGGAAGGGAAATGGAGGTTACGAGTGGAAGGGAAATGGAGGTTACGAGTGGAAGGGAAATGGAGGTTACGAGTGGAAGGGAAATGGAGGTTACGAGTGGAAGGGAAATGGAGGTTACGAGTGGAAGGGAAATGGAGGTTACGAGTGGAAGGGAAATGGAGGTTACGAGTGGAAGGGAAATGGAGGTTACGAGTGGAAGGGAAATGGAGGTTACGAGTGGAAGGGAAATGGAGGTTACGAGTGGAAGGGAAATGGAGGTTACGAGTGGAAGGGAAATGGAGGTTACGAGTGGAAGGGAAATGGAGGTTACGAGTGGAAGGGAAATGGAGGTTACGAGTGGAAGGGAAATGGAGGTTACGAGTGGAAGGGAAATGGAGGTTACGAGTGGAAGGGAAATGGAGGTTACGAGTGGAAGGGAAATGGAGGTTACGAGTGGAAGGGAAATGGAGGTTACGAGTGGAAGGGAAATGGAGGTTACGAGTGGAAGGGAAATGGAGGTTACGAGTGGAAGGGAAATGGAGGTTACGAGTGGAAGGGAAATGGAGGTTACGAGTGGAAGGGAAATGGAGGTTACGAGTGGAAGGGAAATGGAGGTTACGAGTGGAAGGGAAATGGAGGTTACGAGTGGAAGGGAAATGGAGGTTACGAGTGGAAGGGAAATGGAGGTTACGAGTGGAAGGGAAATGGAGGTTACGAGTGGAAGGGAAATGGAGGTTACGAGTGGAAGGGAAATGGAGGTTACGAGTGGAAGGGAAATGGAGGTTACGAGTGGAAGGGAAATGGAGGTTACGAGTGGAAGGGAAATGGAGGTTACGAGTGGAAGGGAAATGGAGGTTACGAGTGGAAGGGAAATGGAGGTTACGAGTGGAAGGGAAATGGAGGTTACGAGTGGAAGGGAAATGGAGGTTACGAGTGGAAGGGAAATGGAGGTTACGAGTGGAAGGGAAATGGAGGTTACGAGTGGAAGGGAAATGGAGGTTACGAGTGGAAGGGAAATGGAGGTTACGAGTGGAAGGGAAATGGAGGTTACGAGTGGAAGGGAAATGGAGGTTACGAGTGGAAGGGAAATGGAGGTTACGAGTGGAAGGGAAATGGAGGTTACGAGTGGAAGGGAAATGGAGGTTACGAGTGGAAGGGAAATGGAGGTTACGAGTGGAAGGGAAATGGAGGTTACGAGTGGAAGGGAAATGGAGGTTACGAGTGGAAGGGAAATGGAGGTTACGAGTGGAAGGGAAATGGAGGTTACGAGTGGAAGGGAAATGGAGGTTACGAGTGGAAGGGAAATGGAGGTTACGAGTGGAAGGGAAATGGAGGTTACGAGTGGAAGGGAAATGGAGGTTACGAGTGGAAGGGAAATGGAGGTTACGAGTGGAAGGGAAATGGAGGTTACGAGTGGAAGGGAAATGGAGGTTACGAGTGGAAGGGAAATGGAGGTTACGAGTGGAAGGGAAATGGAGGTTACGAGTGGAAGGGAAATGGAGGTTACGAGTGGAAGGGAAATGGAGGTTACGAGTGGAAGGGAAATGGAGGTTACGAGTGGAAGGGAAATGGAGGTTACGAGTGGAAGGGAAATGGAGGTTACGAGTGGAAGGGAAATGGAGGTTACGAGTGGAAGGGAAATGGAGGTTACGAGTGGAAGGGAAATATGGAGGTTACGAGTGGAAGGGAAATGGAGGTTACGAGTGGAAGGGAAATGGAGGTTACGAGTGGAAGGGAAATGGAGGTTACGAGTGGAAGGGAAATGGAGGTTACGAGTGGAAGGGAAATGGAGGTTACGAGTGGAAGGGAAATGGAGGTTACGAGTGGAAGGGAAATGGAGGTTACGAGTGGAAGGGAAATGGAGGTTACGAGTGGAAGGGAAATGGAGGTTACGAGTGGAAGGGAAATGGAGGTTACGAGTGGAAGGGAAATGGAGGTTACGAGTGGAAGGGAAATGGAGGTTACGAGTGGAAGGGAAATGGAGGTTACGAGTGGAAGGGAAATGGAGGTTACGAGTGGAAGGGAAATGGAGGTTACGAGTGGAAGGGAAATGGAGGTTACGAGTGGAAGGGAAATGAAATGGAGGTTACGAGTGGAAGGGACATGGAGGTTACGAGTGGAAGGGAAATGGAGGTTACGAGTGGAAGGGAAATGGAGGTTACGAGTGGAAGGGAAATGGAGGTTACGAGTGGAAGGGAAATGGAGGTTACGAGTGGAAGGGAAATGGAGGTTACGAGTGGAAGGGAAATGGAGGTTACGAGTGGAAGGGAAATGGAGGTTACGAGTGGAAGGGAAATGGAGGTTACGAGTGGAAGGGAAATGGAGGTTACGAGTGGAAGGGAAATGGAGGTTACGAGTGGAAGGGAAATGGAGGTTACGAGTGGAAGGGAAATGGAGGTTACGAGTGGAAGGGAAATGGAGGTTACGAGTGGAAGGGAAATGGAGGTTACGAGTGGAAGGGAAATGGAGGTTACGAGTGGAAGGGAAATGGAGGTTACGAGTGGAAGGGAAATGGAGGTTACGAGTGGAAGGGAAATGGAGGTTACGAGTGGAAGGGAAATGGAGGTTACGAGTGGAAGGGAAATGGAGGTTACGAGTGGAAGGGAAATGGAGGTTACGAGTGGAAGGGAAATGGAGGTTACGAGTGGAAGGGAAATGGAGGTTACGAGTGGAAGGGAAATGGAGGTTACGAGTGGAAGGGAAATGGAGGTTACGAGTGGAAGGGAAATGGAGGTTACGAGTGGAAGGGAAATGGAGGTTACGAGTGGAAGGGAAATGGAGGTTACGAGTGGAAGGGAAATGGAGGTTACGAGTGGAAGGGAAATGGAGGTTACGAGTGGAAGGGAAATGGAGGTTACGAGTGGAAGGGAAATGGAGGTTACGAGTGGAAGGGAAATGGAGGTTACGAGTGGAAGGGAAATGGAGGTTACGAGTGGAAGGGAAATGGAGGTTACGAGTGGAAGGGAAATGGAGGTTACGAGTGGAAGGGAAATGGAGGTTACGAGTGGAAGGGAAATGGAGGTTACGAGTGGAAGGGAAATGGAGGTTACGAGTGGAAGGGAAATGGAGGTTACGAGTGGAAGGGAAATGGAGGTTACGAGTGGAAGGGAAATGGAGGTTACGAGTGGAAGGGAAATGGAGGTTACGAGTGGAAGGGAAATGGAGGTTACGAGTGGAAGGGAAATGGAGGTTACGAGTGGAAGGGAAATGGAGGTTACGAGTGGAAGGGAAATGGAGGTTACGAGTGGAAGGGAAATGGAGGTTACGAGTGGAAGGGAAATGGAGGTTACGAGTGGAAGGGAAATGGAGGTTACGAGTGGAAGGGAAATGGAGGTTACGAGTGGAAGGGAAATGGAGGTTACGAGTGGAAGGGAAATGGAGGTTACGAGTGGAAGGGAAATGGAGGTTACGAGTGGAAGGGAAATGGAGGTTACGAGTGGAAGGGAAATGGAGGTTACGAGTGGAAGGGAAATGGAGGTTACGAGTGGAAGGGAAATGGAGGTTACGAGTGGAAGGGAAATGGAGGTTACGAGTGGAAGGGAAATGGAGGTTACGAGTGGAAGGGAAATGGAGGTTACGAGTGGAAGGGAAATGGAGGTTACGAGTGGAAGGGAAATGGAGGTTACGAGTGGAAGGGAAATGGAGGTTACGAGTGGAAGGGAAATGGAGGTTACGAGTGGAAGGGAAATGGAGGTTACGAGTGGAAGGGAAATGGAGGTTACGAGTGGAAGGGAAATGGAGGTTACGAGTGGAAGGGAAATGGAGGTGAAGGAAAGACAGAGATGGTGAGCACAAGGGGATTGGCCCTGCCTTCTCCAGCACCATGCCCTCTAGGCCCTTCTCGTACGCAACCATGCTGCGATGGTGGCGCGGGAAGGGGTGGGGTGTGTGGAAGGAAGGAATGCCCCACCTCGAGAACAAAAGGTATCCCTGCCCGTCAAGCACACTCGGACACACCAGGACACTTGAGAGCATGCATACAGACCAAACTCATATGGGAGGGAAAGGGCAGGGTGAGAGTATGTCAGCATGCCAATTTGTGAGGGAATGAGAATGCTCATGCCTAAGGGAGCTCGTACCGGTCGAGGAGGGCGGGATCGGACGCTCCCAGCATGCGCACAGCAAGCAGAGCAGCGTTGACTGCATTGTTGATTGCCACTGTGGCCACTGGAATGCCACGTGGCATCTGGTGATTGGACAGGAGAAACAGACAAGGAAGAAAGAGGGACGTGTGTTAGGAAGTGGAGGAGGAAAGCAGTCAACAACAGTGTGAGTTTACTCAAAAGCTGGTGGATATTAATTCGATAAAATTTGAGTTCAGACAAGATCAGTAGTAAGAAATGGCACACCAAGCTATACTGCCAGATTTTTACCCTGCACTTTAGTCCTCACTGTAACCAGAAGCGGAAGCAGTTTTTCCACGACTAACCTGAACGATGGAGAGAAGTGAGTCCATGCCACCCAGGGCCGAGCCCTTGACTGGTACTCCTATCACAGGGAGAGGGGACATTGATGCTACCATGCCTGGTGGTTGGTGGAGGGAGGGGAGAGGGAAGAGGGGAATGGGCATGCAGAAGAGGGAGAGGGAAGAGGGGGGGAAGGGGTTATACTTGGGATTGTTCTTTGAGTCGCCTCGAGAGTGCCTGGATGGGTTGAAGGTTGATGCTGGGGTTGGTGGGGGAGAAATTACAAGTAGTGTTTCAGATTGGGGGCTGAACGGTTCTTTTTTAGTGCAAAGAAATGTGAGGTGGCGTGCTGGCGCAGCGTACAGGAGAAATGACGAGGATAGAGAAGGGTGGCAAGAGGAAGGCGCGTTGGGGAGGAGGACGAGGGGCCGAGAGGAGGGGAATAGATGCAGGATTGCCACTGCTCTGTTGTTTTCACCTGGCAGGTGGGCGGCACCGCCAGCGCCAGCAATGATGACTCGGATGCCGCGTGTGTGTGCCGACTGGGCAAATGAGAACATGCGATCAGGTGTGCGATGAGCCGACACTATGGTCAGCTGGTCCGGGGGAGGAGAGGGGGTGGGGGGGGGAGAGTGGGATGGGGGTGTAAAGGGGGAGGGGATTCAGGCAGAACGTGTGGATGGAAGGTGGGAATGTTCAACAGTGACGGCGCGAGGAACCAATGAGGGGGTGAGGGGGGTGACGTGGGGAGGGAGGGTGGGCAAGAGTGGAGAAGCGACACAGTCACGTGTGATGTGATGTGCGCCGACGCTATGGTCAGCTGGAAGCAGTATGTTTGGGGGGCCTAAGGGAGAGGAGTGAAGACGCAATGGGAGGAGGCGTAGAGCCGAGTCCTCAAATCAAGCCATCACTCATGCCTACCATGCACCGCTCACCTCACAGCGCTCACCTCGAAGGGCACTTGGAAGAAGTCGAGGATTTGAGCCGCACCCTTCATGACCGGCAGGTCCGAGTCACTGCCCATTATGATCGCCACCTGTGGCGCTGCATTGTGAGGGACGAGCGATTAGGTGTGACCGGGAGAGAAAGAGGAGAGAGGGAGGGTAGGATGGAAGGATTAGCTTAGCGCCCTTCATGACTGGCAGGTCCGAGTCACTGCCCCCATTATGATCGCTACCAGGGGGCCTGCAGAGTGATGGACAAGCAAGGGAGGGCGAGAGGGGCGAGCGGGGGAGAGAGGGGCAAGAGGGGGCAAGCGGACAAGTGGATTTGAGCCGCGCCCTTCATGACGGGCAGGTCCGAGTCACTGCCCCCATTATGATCGCCACCTGTGGCGCTGCAGAAGGTTAGGTGCAAGGGAATAAGAGGGAGTGAGAAGGATTGAGAGGGGGTAAGAGGGCGGAGAGAGGTACCTTTGATATTTCCACCCGGGAGCTGGAAACACATATGACGAGAAAACATCATAGCTGGTAGAGCCATTCACTCCCCTTCCCCTATCTGCCACTCCCTTTCCCCTACACACTCCCCTACCATGCACCACCGCCCCGTATCCTTGCTCATCTCTCCCAACCCCTCTTCACCACTCCCAACCAACCCCTCCTCACCTCACCCGTCCCCTGCCTGCCCATCTCCCATGGCTTGTGGTACGACGGAAGATAGTGCAATGCATGCAACCGGCTTCACTTAAGGCATTACCAACACCACCATTCCCCCATTCCCCTCCCCACCACCCCCTTCCCTCTCCACCACTCTCCTTCTCCTGCCCACCACCCCATATCCCACACCTCTCCCAACCCCTGCTCACCTTGTCCGTCCCCGGCCTGCCCATCCCCCATGGCTTGTGGCACGATGGCGTTGATTCGCCTCACTGCCTCCTGCACCGTCGGCGCCACCACCGTCACATGCCCCATCTTGCGCTTGGCGCGCATGTCTGGCAGGGGCAAGGGGGGAAGGGGAGGCGGAAGGAGGTGGAAGGAGAGGAAGAAGCGAAGGAGCAGGGAGAGAACGTGCATTTGGTGCCACCACCGTCACATGCCCCATCTTGCGCTTGGTGCGCATGTCTGGAGGGGGAAAGCGGGGGGACGGAGGTGGAAAGAGGGAGGTGAGGAGGAAGATGAGGGGCGAAGGGGCGAGGAGCAGGGAAAGGGGAGTGCTGTTGGCACCACCACCGTCACATGCCCCATCTTGCGCTTAGCCCAGCATTTCTTGAGGTGGGGAAGGCAGAGGGGTGAAGGGAGCGGGGAGGGACGTGGGGGAAGGGGGAGGTGGAGTGAAAAAGGAGAGGGGGAGCGAGAGTGGGTGATGTGCAGGGAACAAAACGAGAAGGAACACTGGGGGAGGGAAGAGGGAGCGAATGGGAGGGGGGGAAGGGGGGGAGAAAGAGGGACGGAGGGAGGGAGGGTGGGGGAAGGAAGGGAAGGGGGAAGACATATGAGCAGTGATTGAATGAACTGATTCGCCACATAAGCAATGACTGACCAGATCTTCTTACATGAAGCACTGACCTGACTTGTCGTACCAGTGGATGGACGCCCCCGGCACCACCAGCGCCTGCTTCAGAATGGCCTGCGATATCTCAAAGCCCTCATCGCCCTGAGAGGGGATGCACCACATGGCAGAAGGCAGGAGGCAAGAGGCGGGAGATGAGAAGCGGGAGATGAGAAGCGGGAGATGAGAAGCGGGAGATGAGAAGCGGGAGATGAGAAGCGGGAGATGAGAAGCGGGAGATGAGAAGCGGGAGATGAGAAGCGGGAGATGAGAAGCGGGAGATGAGAAGCGGGAGATGAGAAGCGGGAGATGAGAAGCGGGAGATGAGAAGCGGGAGATGAGAAGCGGGAGATGAGAAGCGGGAGATGAGAAGCGGGAGATGAGAAGCGGGAGATGAGAAGCGGGAGATGAGAAGCGGGAGATGAGAAGCGGGAGATGAGAAGCGGGAGATGAGAAGCGGGAGATGAGAAGCGGGAGATGAGAAGCGGGAGATGAGAAGCGGGAGATGAGAAGCGGGAGATGAGAAGCGGGAGATGAGAAGCGGGAGATGAGAAGCGGGAGATGAGAAGCGGGAGATGAGAAGCAGGAGATGGGAGGGTAGGCAAGCAACGTTGAAAGAAGCGGGGCATGATTGAGCTGCCAATTAGCATAGGCTTGGGAAACCCTTCAAAACAAACTATGCCGACCCTCTCTCCCCCAACCCTCTCTCTCATCACCCCCCTCCCACCCACACTCACATCGGCCTCCCCCAGGATGTTGCCCACAGCAGCACCGCCAATGTTAACAGCGCGCCGCCAACATTAACGGAGGGGTCAACGAGATGCAGCCCCAGCACGGCGCGCATATGCTGTAGAGCCTACTGTTGTGCCGCCGCGGAGAGCACCAGAACCCCAACCCCACCAGCCCCGCTCCCCTTTCCCCATCTCCCCGCCCACCCCACACTCAGAACAGCCACACTCACATCAGCCTCGCCCAGGATGTTGACCATAGCAGCAGCGCCGACCTTGAGCGAGGGGTCTCCAAGGGGCAGCCCCAGCACCGCCCTGAGGTGCTGCTCGTACTGCGACACGTGGCACGCCTCTATGCTGTAGTGCCCGCTGTTGTGCGGCCGCGGCGCCACCTCGTTGAGTAGGACGGAGTCGCCGTCCATCAGGAACAGCTCCACGCCAAAAACGCCCGCCCCGGCGAGCGAGCCGATCGCCAGCTCGGCCACTCGCAGCGCCTGCTGCTGCACTGCGGGCGGCACACCGGCCGGCACGACCACTGTGTTGCAGATGTTGTCTCTAATGAGCTCAGGGGCGGGCGGCAGGGAAGAGGACAGGGGAAGCAGGAGGAGGCAGATGATATAAGTAGAAGCTTCAAATCGAGGTGAATTCGGCTGCCCTTCAAATTGTTCTCCCTTGTCCTTCATCTCTCACAGCCTCTCACCCCTCACTAACACTCACCACCTCTCACCACCGCTCATCACCGCTCACCGGTGGGTGGTCTCGACAACAGGGAAGCTCTTGATCTCCCCGTCCCGCCCTCTTGCCACCATCACTGCCAACTCCTGCCACGCCACGTACACACGAGCATAATTGTGAAGCATACGCAACAGCAGAATACGGCCGTACGTAACCGACATGGGTTTTGAGGCGCCTCAAACACGTGCAAACGAGCATGGCTGTGAAGCATACCCATCAACAGAATGCAGCCGTATTTCACATGTGCTTCATCGTAGCGATTACAACAAAGTGCAGAGAGAAGAGAAGCAGTGCAGAGAGAAGAGAAGCAGTGCAGAGAGAAGAGAAGCAGTGCAGAGAGAAGAGAAGCAGTGCAGAGAGAAGAGAAGCAGTGCACACAGGCCTGACCTTGGTGAAGGGAGCCCACTTCTCAGCATACATTTTTTAGGCGCTTCAAAAGTCGTCTCATTTCTCGCGGTTTTGAGGCGCCTCAAGAGAAGCAGTGCACACAGGCCTCACTCACCTTGGTGAAGGGAGCCCACTTCTCAGCATACAGCCCTCGCTTTTTAGTCGACTCAAATGCAGTGCAGAGAGAAGAGAAGCAGTGCGCACAGGCCTCCTCACCTTGGTGAAGGGAGCCCACTTCTCAGCATACAGCCCTCGCTCAAAGCCCCCCAGGTCTGTGAGGGTGGCACAACGGAATGGCATAGCCAGAAAGCAAGGCAGTCTGTGAGGAAACGAGGAAGCAGAAAGGAGCAGATAGTCCTACCGCTCAAAGCAATTCTACACCTTGTGGCCCTGTGTGCTGAAACCAGGATGCTAGAGCTCAAACGCCCAGTTAGGGTTTAAGCTGACCTGCCAAAGCTTCCAAAGACTCGCTTGCAACAAAAAATCACAAAAAAAAACAAAAACTGCTACGACCCACACACCTGCGACAGCTTGCTCGATGTCTTCTTGTGAGTTCACAACAGCGTTGCCGCGGCCGTCGTACGCGTTCTTGCGGCTCTTGAGCATGAAGGGGTAGGAGAATTCCTCCCCTGCCGCCTCCGCTGCCGCCATATCTGGTATCTGTTGGAATGGCAAGGTATTGGATCGGGGCGTGGTGTGGGCTTATGTCTACTTTTGAGGCGCCTCAAAAGTCTCCTCCGCTGCAGCCATATCTGGTATCTGATGGCACGGCAAGGCATTGGATGGGGGCGTGGTGTGGGCTAATAGTTGAGACGTCTAAAAAGTGGGATGAGGAAACGAATCCGTGCTGTAATGTCCGGTGCACACCTGATGGCAATGCAGAGGATGGGGCACAGAACAGGGATCACGATGGGGCAAACGACGAGGCAAGGCAAGTGATGTGACATGAGATGACAGGTATCATGAAACACGTTACGAGATGTACAGTGTGCATGTGCAACCCTGTGATTCGCAGCATAGATCAAACCATGCATGCTTTCTTGCTTGTGCAAAAAGGCAATGCTTCAGTGAGGCCTAAACAAGAGATGAAGGGGACGAGGGGAAGGAGGCGAGAGCAAACACGAGGGCGAGAAGATGCCAAAAAGAGGGCAAGCAGAGCAAAGAGAGGGTAGAGAGCAAGGAGTGGGCAAGGAGCAACTAACCGACACGAAGTCTGGGAGAGGCACGCCGCGATTCCTGAAGTGAACCTTCTGCAGGTACTTGTCCTGGTGGGGTCACGGACGCGGTGATGGGACGGGGGGAGGGACGGGGTGAAGGACGGGGTGATGGACCGGGCTGAGGGACCGGGGAGAGAAGGAAAGGTGAGGGGGTGAGGAATGAATAGGAGTGAGGTTGGAGAGAGATGAGAGAAGCAACCACCTGGATACGGTCACATTACAGGTTACAGTCACGTTACAGGTTACAGTCACGTTACAGATCACAGTCACAGTCACTTGGATGACGCGGAATGGGTGAAAGGGCTTGGGTTCGATGTCAATGCAGTCGTCGTCCTCCAAGTGTGTTTGAGGTGCCTCAAAGACCATCACAGTCACACTCGACCCTTGTTACAGTCACAATTTACCTGAATGACGCCGATGGTGGAGGGCTTAGGTTCGATATCAATGCAGTCGTCGTCCTCCAGGTGCTGTAGCGCGTCCACGTTCACGTGCTCTATCTCCACCGTCACCACGTCGCTCCTGTTTATAACGAGGACAAGTGAACAAGGCACATTTCCAGCGAGTTTGAGTGCATTTGAGAACAGAACGGACGGAGCTTGAATGACTGCATATCACAGGGAAGGAGAACTAAGCTGTGCGCTGTTCGCGAACTAATAAGTTATACCCGACAGATGTTTGTAACAAGGCTTTACCGCGACGGAATCGACTCACTTCTTCGCGAATTCTCGCACGGTGTCCATATCCTGGAAGCTTCCTACCACGTGGCGGAACGCCACTGGACGAGCCGGCGCGTCTGGCAGCGGGTCGAGCACCGCGACCTTGATTCCTAAAGGCGACGCCGCCTCGCACAGCATTCGACCCAGCTGCCCGCCGCCCAAAACTCCCACGATTTGGCGGGAAACTCCGCGTCCCTCGGGCTCCCGCTCCCACACCTCCTCATCTTCCGCCATCGCCGCTGCGCCGTTTCCCGCCGCTTCTTCCGCGTCGAACGCGACGACGCCGCCGTTCAAGCTCTCGCCTTCCTCCGCGATTACCGCTCCTTCAAGAGCGCGCGGGACGAGTCGCGCGACGCGCGCGGGTGTGAGCGGGTTGAGCGGTACGCGCGAGTAGGGCTTTTGGAGCGCGAAGCAGCGCGACATCGACGCGGGGGACGGATTTGAAAGGGAAGCTTCGGCGCGTGACGTCAGCAGTTGAGCTCGGTAAAGCGCCACGTGGCAGCCAAGTGAGGAAGCGGCCATGGGGTTTTGCTGACGTAGCGCGAGGAGGGACACGGGCCCAACTATCCTAAACAGGACGAAGTGGGCGGCTTAGGAAGCGACTCTGCAGCGACTTAGGTGTCGAAGGCTGTAATGTGTAAATATCACTCCGTGGAAGGGGTTAGGCATGGAGGCAGTTCGGCGCCTGACTGACCCTGGACATCATGCTAAGGGAAGGGGGAGGAAGTGGAGGATGTGTGAAGGACTGAGTCAGCTTGGTGATTCACTTTGTTGTGAAGACACACTTCCGCAATAAAGCTATAACGAGTACACTTTTTCTAAGGGATGCGTTTGGTGTGCTTCATGTTTGGGATATCAATAGCGGAACGAATGAGCAATATCGAGATTTTCCATGGCTGCCTCCCCCCCAATCAAAGCATCGCGCCGTCAGAAAATGTGTCGGCTACAGTGTTCGCGCGAATTGACCTTCGCCGTCACAGCCCCACCATATGACGGAGTCGCGGTCAGGGAGTTAGGACTTTGTTGTGTCCCGGAACCAATCAGACAGGGGCGCAGGCGGGCGGTCAGTTGTGCGCCCGAAGCAATCTGAGGAATGATTTTTGTGCAGCTTGGATCGGGTAAGGTCAGCCATCAGATGCCTTCGCACTTGCATCCTGACAACAAATATTGTTATGCGAACTCACGACGTCATGTCTGCCCGCAGCGAGAACATTCAAAAGTTCGCGCCACAATGGAGGGGGGGGTGTGACCCACCAACTTCGAGGCTGCCTTAATACATTCGAGGTACGGTAAAGGTCAAGGGTGACGGTTTTTGGCAATTCATTAGCACCGTCTCCTAGATGACAGGCAAGGTTTTTGGTAGTTCTGGACATCAGGGACGTCGGAGGAGCATACGGTACGGAACTCAGGACGCAATGGCCGTTCATAGATTATAGTATCAGCAGCCGCTAGTGATTATAGACGCGCCTATGGCGGCCTTTTGGGCGCGAGCCCGTAGAGGCTGGCCAGCGACGACCCGAAAACCTTTTCGAAGGCGTCAACAGTCCTCGCTTTTCGTTATGCCTGCGCACGAAGCCCTCCTGATCCTCGTCATCAGCTGCCTCGCTGTTAGCGCCACTGTAACAGCCGCTCCCGACTACCGCGATGCGTTGTCGAAAGCGCTTCTGTTCTTCGACGGCCAACGGTCGGGTAACCTCTCAGGCGCCGCGATCAAGACCAGGACGACGTGGCGCGGCGACTCCGGTCTCACCGACGGCAAAGCGCAGAAGGTGCGGCGTTGCGATCTTGACAACGGAATGCGATACTATCTGCCCATCGATCATTCTCGTCTGTTCCATCAGCGGCCCTCACGCTGATCGACTCTTCGTTCTCTCCGTCCCCTTCTCTGCTTCCCGTTCTCCCTTTCCCTCCCATCCCCTCTTCTTTCCGCGCAGGTCGACTTGGTAGGCGGCTACTATGACGGCGCGGGGAACGTTAAGTACGGGCTGCCGCTGGCCTTCTCCCTCACGCTGCTCTCCTGGGCCGCCATCGATTACCAGCAGCAGCTCGGCGCTTCAGGCGGCCAGCTCTCCGCGGCTCGCGACGCGATTCGCTGGGGGACGGATTACCTCCTTAAAGCGCACACGAGCGCGAATGAGCTCTGGGTGCAAGTAGGCGACGGTCCGAGCGACGATCTGTGCTGGCAGCGGCCCGAGGACATGACGACGGACCGCACCGCGTACCGAGTGAACGCGACGCGGCCGGGGTCTGACGTTGCAGGGGAGACGGCGGCGGCAATGGCGTCGGCGTCGCTGGTGTTCGCGAAACTGGATCCCTCGTATTCGTCGCTGCTGCTGAACCGCTCCCAGCAGCTGTTCACGTTTGCGGACACTTATCGCGGGGTGTATTCCGATTCTATCCCCATTGCGAGACGGAACTATCCCTCGTGGACCGGATACGAGGTGAGGAAGGGTGACGTGGAGATCTAGGCGCGGGATGACCACGCTACGCGTGGTTCTATCCAACTGGGGTCTGATCCTATCCCCATTACTACGCGGAACTATCCCGTTGTGCCGAGCGATGAACAGCACGGTCAACGCATTCACTCTCTTCTTCCTCTCTTCCAACCGTCCCCATCACAGGACGAGTTGGCGTGGGCGGCGGCGTGGCTGCACCGAGCAACGGGGTCAACGCAATACCTCGAGTACCTGGCGACGAGCGACGAGCAGCTGCAAGGGTCGTCGGAGGCCACCACGGAGTTCAGCTGGGACGACAAGTTCGCTGGCGCGCAAGTGCTGGTGGCTAAGGTATGTTGTTTTACCTTGAAGCGTGGTGAGGGGAGTGTTGCAGGTGCAGCTGCAGGGGTCGTCACAGGCCACCACGGATTTCAGCTGGGACGACAAATTCGCCGGCGCACAAGTGCTGGTGGCCAAGGTACCGCCTTTTCATTTAAAACGTGGTCAGGGTCGACACACACACAAGTGCTCGTGGCTAAGGGACGCCCTTTTGCCATCCGCGATGGTCAGGGGGTGCTGGTGTGCAGGAGGGGTACCGATCTCTCTCCATCCCTCCGTCCCTCCCTGCCCCTTGCCTCCCGGCACAGGTAGCACTGCAAGGCAGCGGGGCGGCTAATCTGAGCACAGCAGCACAGGCGGTGGTGGAGGGGTATCGCTGGCGGAGCGCCTTCGCATGTGCCTACACTCCCTCCCACTCTCCCACACGTTTTTCCCTCCCTGCGTCTTGTCTCTGCGCAGGTAGCACTGCAAGGCAGCGGGGCAGCTAATCTGAGTACGGCAGCACAAGCGGTGGTGGAGGGGTATCACTCTCACCACCCAATCTCACTCCCTCTGTCTCTCTATCCCTCCGGCCTTCCCTTCCTGCCCTGCACAGGTAGCACTTCAAGGGGGAAGCAGTGGTTCAGCTAATTTGAGCACAGCAGCACAGGCGGTGGTGGAGGGGTATCGCGGCATGGCGGAACGCCTTCGCATGTGCCTACACTCCCTCCCACTCTCCCACACGTTTTTCCCTCCCTGCGTCTTGTCTCTGCGCAGGTAGCACTGCAGGGCAGCGGGGCGGCTAATCTGAGCACAGCAGCACAGGCGGTGGTGGAGGGTTACAGAGGCATGGCAGACGCCTTTGCATGTGCCTACCTGCCAGACAACCCACTGCACTCCGTCTACATCACTCCAGGTGAGGAACTTGGTGCTTTTTATCTCAGAACACATTATGGCATGGCAGACGCCTTTGCATGTGCCTACCTGCCCGACAACCCACTGCACTCCGTCTACATCACCCCAGGTGAGGGTAAAACATTTGATTCATGGCATTTTGGTGTTTCTCATTCCATATCCAGCCGTCACTGCTTGTGGCTTGTCGAGTCTGCCCAATGCTGCCCTCTTCCCCACGCCTGATATACCCCGCTCAACCCGTCCCCACCTCCCACTTGGCCTATGGCTGCTCAGCGCCTTAGTTCTCGGCCGTACAATCCCCTCCCCTGCATCACCCCTCCCTGCATCCACCCCTCCCTGCATCCACCCCTCCCTGCATCCACCCCTCCCTGCATCAACCCTCCTCGTGCAGGCGGGCTGGTGTACATACGAGCGCGCAACAGCCAGTACGCCACGTCAGCCGCGTTCCTGCTGCTGCTCTACAGTGACTACCTGGCGTCGGCCAATCAGACGCTCTCGTGCGACGGCACGCAGTACTCGCCTGCTGACATGGCGGCCTTCTCCAAGTCACAGGTGGGATTCGATAGTCACAGATGGGATTCGATACAGTCACAGATGGGATTCGATACAGTCACAGGTGGGATTCGATACAGTCACACCAGATGGACTACCTGCCCTCCAACCCCCTTAACGCATTTCGAACGTTCCCCTCCACTCCCCCCCTCTAAACTGATTCCTACCCTCTCTCTCCACCCTCCCTCCACCGTACTCAACCCAGGTGGATTACCTGCTAGGTGTCAACCCTCTCAACGCCTCCTACATGGTCGGCTTCGGCCAGTCGTACCCGCAGAAGCTGCGCCACCGGGCGGCATCCATCGTCTCTTTCAAAGCGGACAGCACGCCGGTGTCCTGTGAGGGCGGCAAGACGGATTGGCTCATGAGTCCAGACCCCAACCCCAACGTGCACGTGGGAGCGATCGTGGGGGGGCCTGATGCGGTAAGTGAACCACCCGTGAACTAGACTCCCTGTGAAATGACTTGTGGTTATGCCTGTGTGCGTGTTTCCTTGATCCACCTTCCTCAACCATGTCCTTTCTCCACATCCACCTCCCCACCCCATTCTACTCCCACAGGACGATGCATTCATGGACGACAGGCAGCAGGCAGCCTTCAACGAGCCGTCACTATTCACCAATGCTGCTGCCGTCGGTGCCCTTGCCCGCCTTTCAGCCGGCGCTCTCCCCCCCGGCCCCTCGCCCCCCCCTGCTCCGCCCTCCCCTCCCCCTCCGCCATCCCCTCCCCCCGCTCCCCCCCCTCCCCCGCGCCCGCCCAAGCCCCCTCCGCCTCCCCCCAGCCCGCCCTCCCCTCCGCCTTCGCCCCCACCTCCAGGTATGCCTCACTTTAAGTTACTGTCACCAGTCTAGTTCACTCCAAAATGCATCCATCTATTGTCATCTCCCGGCTGAATGTTTTTCTTCTATTCTCTTTGCCCGCCCTCTTGTACATGTGTGCCCCTCGCTCGCCCTGCTCTTCCACCTCTTCTCTCTTTTCTGTGCGTCACCGGCTCACCCTCCACTCCAGCCCTTCGTCCCTCCTTCTGGTGCTCTCAACTATTCTCTTCCGAACCCCTCCCTCCCACCTATCTCTCCCCCTCTCTCCCCCAGCCTCGCAAGTCACCGTCACCTGCACCTCTCCCGGACTGGGCCAGGAACCTGGGCCCGGGGGGGAGTGCGTCGTTTGGGTTCATACAGGAGAAGGCAGTCACGCCGCAGTTCAGCGTTCTGGGGTATTTCTCGAATGCACCCCCCGCGCCGAGTGCAAATGGCGGGTCTCCTCCTCCCACCCAACCGCCTTCCTCTCCTCCTACACTTCCGCCTCCTCCTCTCCCTCCCCCCGCAAGCTCCCCCCGCCCCCCTCCCCCTGGAGCATCTGCCCCATGTCCTCCTCCCCCGCTGCAGACCGGGTTCCCCCCTCCAGCCAACACCCCTCCTGCTGCCACTCCCCCTCCTGCCTCTCCTCCTCCCTCCTCCGCCTCTCTCTTGCTCGAGCAAAACCTGCTCTACGAATGGCCTCCTGACGCTGCAGCATTCAACATCACCATTTCAAACCCATCCACTCGCACCGCTGTTGCGGTTACCATATCCGTAACCCTGCTGGTAGACGACCCGCCAATCACGAGCGTCTGGGGTCTTTCCGCTGCGGGCAGCTCCACAGACAGCTCTTCGGGCAGCTTGAAAATTGTGACACTGTACCGGGTTTCGGCGAATCTGCTGCCCATGCTGCCTGGAGAGTCGGCGCAAGTAGGGTACATCAAGTCTGGGCAGCCCGGAAATGTTTCCATTGCGGAGGTAGCATGGTTGGAACAATCCCCCCCTCCCCCTTCTCCTCCCACCAAACGATCTCCTCCTCCCAAACCACCCCGTCCCCCTCCTCCGAAACCCCCCCGACCCCCTCCCCCTCGCCCCCCAAAGCCACCTCCCCGACCCCCACCCCGCCCTCCCCCACGCCCTCCCCCACACCCTCCCCCGCGGCCCCCTCCACGGCCCCCAAGACCTCCTCCTCGCCAAAAAAGGCACTAGTTTCTGGAATAAGTCTACGTACTGGTTAAGTTGAAACAAAGAAGACGAGATATAGGGTTAGCAAGTGCGATGGGTTGACCAGAAAAAAGGCACTAGTTTCTGGAATAAGTCCCCTTGTCTTGACGCTTGAAGGGGGCTGTCTGGACCATAGTACGGTGAAGTTGTTAATGAAGTGAGACGGTGATTGGCCGGGAACGAGACCTCATCCAGGAATACACCACAATGCATTTACGGTACATCAACTTTACAGTATCTCATGCAATTGGCAATATTTGTTTGAATGAGCAGCAGTGTCGTAATATTTCAATTTTCCTGTGAGATCAGGGTTATCACCTTGCATTGCACCATCATTGCGATCATGAAATTCAGCACTTGGTTGTCAGTGATAGCTCAGAAAGAACATTGATAATACAATAGAATTAATGCTGCACACAGGTTAATAAACAACATATGAATGGCAATGAAATCCTCATACAGTAATATAACAAGGGCAAGAATGAAGGGCTATGAACGAATGGAGCATATGCAAAGACACCACCACCTGGCCACGTACCTAATCAGCACCATGTATGCGGCACATTGCAATGTTTTACACATGATATTTCACGTACTACACATAGGTGGGTTATACCTGTTTATTATTGATTATAAAACGGAGGGTTACTGATGACCGCTGGTGTAACCCCGATTTCGCGCAGCTGCTGCGACAGGGTCCCGTTCTGCCGCTCGAGCGCTTTACACCGCGCCTGCAGCGACTGAATGTATACCACCGCATCTTCCAGCATCGCTGACGTGTCAGTCTTAGCGTCCATCTTAGGGAGCACCTCCTTGAGATTCTGAAGCCGCGACGTGATCTTCTCCCTTCGCATGCGCTCCGCGACGCTCCGCGGCTTGGTAGAATACCCAGCCATGTTGTTGTGCGCGTTCGCGTTTCCGCCGCCCCCTCCGCCTCCTGCACCTCCTCCGTCGGCGCTGGGACTGCCGGCAAACGCTGTAGCACCTTCTGTATGGCCATCCATAGAGTAATCTGATCCGGATCCCTGCTTCTGCAGCAACTGCTGCTGTCCCCCGCCCGCAATATGTTGCTGCGCCCCCAGACTGCGCGCACTCGAAACGCTTCCGCTTGCCCCTGGCGGGCTGTCGTCCTGCTGCGGGAATAATCCCGCCATACCCCCTGACCCCGCAAACCCCCCTGCGCCAGCGTGTCTTTTCCCCCCTTCCTTGCCTTCCCAACTCCCCGTCCGCGCTTTAGGGTTTAGATCTCCCCTTCCCCATTGTGCGGAAGCATCCCCCATGCCGCCTCCTATCTGTCCGCCGCCGCTTCCCGACACGTTGCGACCCGACGCGCCAGCGGCGGCGGCAATGACGGCAGGCGAAACGCCGATCTTCGAAAGCTCCGCCGCCAAAACCGCTTCCGGGCTGATCGACAGGTGCGCGCTATCTCCGGATCCCCCGCCTCCTCCCGCCAGGGGGGCTGCGCCCATCCCTTGCGATTCCGCCACTTGTAGGGGCCCGCGCGGGCTGGCTCCTAGCGTCGAGAAGCGTCCTGGCGTGCTTACAACAAGGTTTCCCTCCGCGTCGCGCTTCCCGGAGGGGCTCGGACGGGTAAGAGGCGACATTCCCGAACCGCCACTGTGGCCTGCATTCGAACCACGGACCTGATGTAGGTCCGGAAGTCCGCGCCTCGACCGTAGACCACCCGAACCTCCTAGCGACGAATGATCGGCGGCCATCGCGGCGGAGCTAGCGGCGATCCGTTGGCCGACGGAAAATGACGCTGATTTCCTGTGTCCGCCGCTCCTGGAGTCCTCGCCAGCGCCGCCTGCGCCGTGATCGGCGGCGCCTGTTGCGGCGTTAAACTCGCTGAAGCGGGCGGGAGGAGATGAGCCGAAAGACTTCACTCGCGGCACGATCTCCGCAGCAGGTCTGCGTGCGATGGGTTGCGCCGCCGCCGCCGCCGCCGCCGATTCCTGAGCCTCTTTTTGCAGCGCCGCCAGCAGCAGCTGCTGCTCGGACGGCGTTAATGCCGCCACGCCGGAGCAGCGAATGCGGTGGCCCACGTCAGACTTGGGGTCTAGAAGCGCCGCGGCGAGGGATTTGGCCGACAAGCTCTGCGGGTTCTCGTGCTCGCCGCGCCCGCGCATCGCTGCAGCGGACACGGAGCCGTCTTGCTGCTGAATCTGCTGCTGCTGTTGAAGTTGCGATTGTTGCTGCTGCTGCTGGAGCTGTTGCTGCTGTTGCTGCTGCTGCTGCTGCTGCTGCTGCTGCTGCTGCTGGGAAGCGGCTGACTGGAGTTGCGGCGCGGGGTCGTTCTGCTGCATGAGTTGATCGTAGAAGCTACTTAAGTCCCTATCCTGCACGAAAGCAGGCACTAAGTTAGCTTGAGCGGGAGTTTCGAGCGGCAGACAGTCGGTCGACGTGTCAAAGAAGGTGTTGTCGTCCCTCCCGCCGATGTTCTGGATGTCGTCGTCCATTTGCGCCCACGTTTCGGGAATTTACCGTTCGTCGGGTCTCTTGCTAAGCTTGGATCGAAATTGCAGCGTTGGAAAGTGCTGGATAAAGGTGGTTAACGTACGAATACGTGTTTCAAGGTGGAATCAATATGCGTCAGTGGGTGTCGAGGAAAAGCTGCAAGGACAAATACGCAAGTCGTCAGATCAAAGGCACTGAACTGCCCCTTCGCCGACGATGCGCGCACTTTTAAACTTGAAAGCAGAGGACGCGTGAGGTGCGAGTCGAGAATCGACGCGAGAGGCAGTCGACGAGAGAGACAGAAAGAGAGACGGCGGCTATAGGTGTGTGTGTGAAGAAAAAACTGTTTGAGCATTGCGGTAGCTACGACAGCTGGTGAAAGGGCGTTCAGGAGGAGTGGGTGGGTGGGACGGGATGGAAAGTTGGAAACGAAAGATAGAGAAAGACATCAGGTGAGGTTGGAGTAGAGATTGATGGGGAAGTGCGCAGGAAGCAAGGTTCTGGCTTGGTTGCGAGTTTGTGGAAGGTGAGGCTCGGGCAGCCTTGCGATTGGCTGGCATGGGCTTGGCTGTGGTCTGGGCCAAGACTGTCGATTGATTTGGGGCCATAACTTGGAACGCTGAGCTGCCCCGAAAGCTGTCCTTAAATTTACGTTTTGGGGCCGAAGTCAACACTTCAAATCAGGGCTACAAAGTGTTAGGCACTTTTGCTAAGACAAGTGATCACCCTGGATTTGCCTGCCCATCCAGATTATTCTTCATGCGCCTGGCTAAATCACTGAATGAAACCTCTTAGCGGAAAAACGGCAACAACGCCAACCCACTCAAAATTGGAAGGGTTAGGTACTGGGACCTCTTCCTTCCTGTGTGTGTAGCCCTTCACCCAGATCTAGCACTAAGTATTCAAGGGCCCGCCGCTGCGTTCCCACTATCCTTTTTGCGACCAAAGGCTGACTCGTGAGGCTTGTACTTAGAAACTACTTCAGGTTCTGACATGCATTTCAGGTTCTGACTTCGAGAAGAACCAGTTTAGGTCCCGACCTCGAAAGTTTAGAGTATATCCACACTGGCTCTAGGGAGATGACAGAAAATTGGGCGGGTGGGGATCTGGGCATCACTTCAACCGTTCCGCGGGCAGTTTCTTAAATCCTGAACTTTGTTCAATGTGTGCTGTGCTGGCTCCACTCGGGGAAGGAACTGTCAGCGCACCAGGAGGCACGCGCGCAGCGCAAAGCTGGCGGATGCCCTGCGGGCGGAACTGGTGGTGCGAGAGCAGTGGGATGGTTGGGTTGGGGGGAGGGTTACACGTGGGCGGGTGGAGGGATTTGGTCGGGGAGATGTGTGGTGGTGAAGCACAATGAAGGCGGAGGGGAGCCGCCATGATTTATGGTTGAGGCAGCCAAGATATCATTGTTTCTTGTTCGAACGTGGGACCTTGTCGCTATTTGTGTGCGAATGAAACGTGCTCTTTGGCGCTTCTTTCAGAATGAAGTCTACTTCCCTTTCACCATCCCACATATTTCGGCCTCAAGTATAAACTTGTAGAAATACAATTCATCTGACCAGACCACACAGCACTCATTGCAGGGCAAAGTAGGGAAGGGGGGAGAGGTGCCATTGCGCAGGACCTTCCAGCATCATGCACAAAGCCCTGCTACCATTGTTTACGAACCAGCAGAATATCCTGCCCGACCCCATGGGAACTGTTCGCAAAATATTGTAAGCCTACTCGACTCTTCTGTAGGGGTTGAGGGTTCTCGAAAATCTTCGAGAAGTGGATGGGACTGCCCTCCGTTCGGTGGTCATGATGAGCTCAGAATATCCCAGCGGAAGGAAACAATATTTCCCAAAGGGGCAGCCAGTGGACAACTGGCCCACGGGGCAGTGCGACGCAAAAACTGCCAGCGACAACTTAACTTGAAAACTCGTTAAAGGGTACCCATGATTCTCAGAGGTGCAATCCTTGGATGGTCGGCAAACTTATAGAATACCCCTCCAACAAGCACTTTATTTCTGCAGTTTTAATCATAACGTATGCATAATTTTCGGGTTCCGCAGCAACCTATGCAGTTGGCATCAAAGTTTTTTGCAATTTTATAGCAAATCAAACAACCAGTGTGGTCTCATCCTTACCCCAACATTCAAATCCGTTGTGGAAAAACGTTGCTGCAGCAGGGCGCGACGGACGAAATGGGGTGCAACGGTAGGGCTGGGGCGCGACGGTAGGGCGCAGCGGGGCGGGATGAGGCCGCTAGAGGGGGCCGTGACGGGGCACTAGAGGGGGGTCGCTAGAGGGGGGCACTAGGAAGGGGGCCATGAGGGCACGAGAGGAGCTAGGGAGGTAAGTAGGGCAGAAGCGAGAAACCTGACCTAACATGATTACATGTCAAGAACAGAATGAATGGATTCATGAGCGCAGAGGGGTAGATATTGCATTTCATACCCTCTATAGTATTGTCAGAATGTTATAACGCTTATATTGTGTAGGCTGTAGTGAGGTAGCCCATAAAAGGTACAACCTAATTAGGGTTAGTAATTGTACCAACTTTTTGCTCAATGCATTAATTATCGTTCAGGATTCTCACATGGTTTCATAGCAGATCCTGTTCCTGGACCGTTTTTTTTTTAGGGCCCACCGCATAATTCCCTGCCTGTAGTGCTGCCCCACTAGCCGCGCTGCACTGCCCTGCCCGTCGCGCTGCCCTGCTGGCCGCACGCCGCCCTGCCCTGCCCGTCGCGCCGCCCTGCACTGCCTGTCGCGCCACCCTGCCACTCGCGCGCCACCCTGCCCTGCCTGTCGCGCCGCCCTACTGGCCGCGTGCTGCCCTGCCCTGCCCGACGCGCCGCCCTGCTGGTAGCGCGCCGCCCTCCCCTGCCTGTCGCGTCACCCTACTGGCCACTGCGTCGCCCTGCCCTGCCCGCGCACCGCACTCCTGGCAGCCGCGCTGCCCTGCACTGCTTGCACGTCGCCCTGCCTTGCCCGCGCGCCGCCCTGCTGGCCGCCGCGCCGCCCTACCCTGCCCGCGCGCCGCCCTACTGGCCGCCGCACCGCCCTGCCCTGCCCGCGCGCTGCCCTGCTGGCTGCCGCCCTGCCCTGCCATTTTGCGCTGCCCTTCCCTAGCTGCACGCCGCTCTTCCCTAGCCATGCGCCGCCCCGCCCTGCCCTGCGCGCTTCCCTAGTGCTCGCGCGCTGCCCTGCCTGCGTGCTGCCCTGCTGGTCGCGCGTCACCGTACTCTGCCCGCTATGGCTTCTCTACTGTAAGTGTTCTCACCTTCGATCATGAGGGCCGTCCGATCCAGTTCGATACGTGGATCGACGACTTACAACTCTACCTACTGAGCGATTCTAGAGACAGCGTTTCGTTGTTTGACCACACATCCGGAGCCTCTCTCGCCCCTCCCGCCATACCTGACAGTGCGAGTCGCTCACAGTGGCTTACCCGTAACGCTGCTGCTCACTTAGTCGTTCGCAACCACCTGCCGTTAGCCGAACGCGCTCACTTTGGCCAGCACAAGATTGCTAAAGCCCTGTACTGTTGAAAATAATGAACGAGAATGAATGAACTAGCAATGAGTTGGGTACAAGTACTAACCCTAATTGGGTTGTACCCTCTATGGGCTACCCCACTATAGCCTACACGAATGTAAAAGCTATAATGTTATGACACACCCCCATAGGCAAAGTGGGGGAGAACAAGTGGTCACAAGACCAGTCAAGAAAACAAAGCAAGCTCAGGGTGGATCACAAAGTCACCACACAGTCCGAGCACAAGCAAAGGGCCACAAGGCCAGTTCACATGCAGAGTGATATAAAGAGAACAAACAATACAGTGATCATATCCTAGCAAGTGCAAGCATGCAAGTATATATATACATCACAGTACAAGCAGAGTCAAGAAGTAAGCAAGTGAGGCAAAGTAGGCACAAGGCCTAACACAGTAGAGAAGCGCTGATGATCATTAGGCAGAAGTGCCTTGATGAATATATCAGCAGTGTTGGCCCTAGTGGCCACGTACGCAAGATGAAGCTGGCCACGCTGCTGCAACTCTCGAGCAAGGAAGTATCGCAGAGCGATGTGCTTCGTTCTGTGCTCCAGTCTGTGCTCCTGACACAAGGCAATCATGGCCTTGTTGTCGACGTATAGAACTGGAGGCGAACGAGGCTGCTCTCCCAAGTCAGTCAGCAGGTAGGTGAGCCAGCGTAGCTCCAGTGCAGCCATGGCCCCGGCGTAGATCTCAGCCTCACAACTGGAGCTGAGAACCGAAGACGAGTGGGTAGACCGCCAGGAAACACAGCCAGAGCCAAGGCTGAAGGTGTAACCCTGTGACGACCGCTGCGTAGCTGAGTTGTCAACCCAAGAAGCGTCTGCGTGACCTGTGAGGACAACTGGACCCCGTCCTCCAAGCACGAGCCCCATGCCTGACGTACTGCACAAGTAGCGCAGTACCCTCTTCACAGCATCCCAGTGCACCTTTCGGTGCCTACCGGGAGCCACGTAGCGAGCCAGAAGGCTGAGAGGGTACGCGAGGTCAGGTCGTGTGCACGTCATCAGGTACATGAGGCAACCCACAAGCTCTGGGTACAGACCACTCGGCTCTACGGACTCGTCCGAAGGTGGAGCTGAGAGCGAGTGGCTGGTAGACAGAGGAGTGGGCTGTGGCGAGGAGAACTAGAAGCCGAAGCGCTGAAGGACATGGTGCACCATGTGTGACTGAGTCAGGGTGATGGTGCGCCGAGCTCTGTCCCGGGTGATCTGCAAGCCAAGATAGCTGCGCAGTTCACCCATGTCAGTGCAGGTGTGTCTCTTCTACAGCTCCGACTTCACAAGTGTCGGTGCCTCAGTATCAGCAGTGGCAAAGACGAGGTCGGCGACGTACACGAGGACGTAGAACGGCGACAGCGAGGTGTCGGTGCGTAGAAACAGCGACGGGTCAGCAGTAGCAGGAGCAAACCCAAGAGCCGCAAGTGTAGTCCTCAGTGTGTCGTGCCACTCGCGAGGCGCC